AAAAATATCATTATAATATTTATATAAAAGTTAAATTTGATCTTAATTTAGAAAATAATAAAATTGTTTCTGTTAAAAAAAATAAGACTTTGAGACAAAATAACAAATACAATGCAGGAGTGATATGTATATCAATTTTATTGCACAGTGTCTATATTTCTAACAGGTGACACATGAATTAATATCATTAATATATTACTAATGAAAAAGACCGATTTAAATCATATTTCTAATAATAAAAACTTAATTTAGACTATTCAAAATTTGAAGTTCAAAAATTAAGATTTTGAAACAAATACGAAAATTAAGAGATTATTTAAACCTATATTTCATTATAAAATATTTAACATTCTTTGTAAAAATAAATAATCGTCTAAAACCTTTGATTTAAAAAATAAATAAGAGAATTAATGTAATTTACTTAACTTCATATTTATATTAGGGGGAGAGAAAAAGAGGAAAAAAGGTTTTTAGGATGAAAAATGATAGAAGGGACATAACTAACGTAGACGAATCCATTGCCATTCTATCAAGAAGACTGAACCAAGGAGCAGAGATGTGAAAAGTGAGTTTGAAGAAGAAGAAGAAGAATATTGAAATCCTGAAAATGCCTCCACAGGTTCCTCAACCAAACAAACCCAACAAGTTCTACTTTTTCTACGGCCACCGGAAACCCTCCCAGAATCGCCCCACCGTCCGCGGTGGCCTCTTCTCCAACCGCCAAACCATAAACCCCTCTTCCACATCCAAGCACAAACCTACACCTTTCAACATCAAAGACTGGGACCCTCATTTCCTCTCCAACCCTTCTCCTCCCTCCTCTTCTCCCTCCCGCACCATCCGCCTCTCTCCGATCGCCCGTTTCATCGTTGACGCCTTCCGCAAAAACGACAACAAGTGGTGTCCCAACGTCGTTGCAGAGCTCAAGAAGCTCCGCAGAGTGCCCCCAAACTTGGTCGCGGAGGTGCTAAAGGTTCAAACAAACCACGCTCTGGCCTCCAAGTTCTTCCACTGGGCGAACAGCCAGAAAGGGTACCATCACAATTTCGCCTCCTACAATGCCCTCGCCTACTGCTTGAACCGCGGCCACCAGTTCCGCGCGGCGGACCACCTTCCCGAACTGATGGACTCGCAGGGGAGGCCCCCCAGCGAGAAGCAGTTCGAGATTTTGATCAGGATGCACTCTGACGCCAACCGAGGGCTTAGGGTCTACCACGTGTATGACAAAATGCGGAACAAGTTTGGGGTGAAGCCGAGGGTGTTTTTGTACAACAGGGTCATGGATGCGTTGTTCAGGACTGGCCATTTGGATCTGGGCTTGTCGGTTTATGATGATTTCAAGGAGGATGGGTTGGTTGAGGAGAGTGTGACTTTCATGGTTTTGGTGAAGGGGCTGTGTAAGGGTGGGAGGATTGATGAGATGTTGGAGGTTCTGGGGAGAATGAGGGAGAGGTTGTGTAAGCCCGACGTGTTTGCGTATACGGCGCTGGTTCGGATTCTGGTTCGGTCGGGGGATCTGGATGCCTGTTTGAGGGTTTGGGAGGAGATGAAGAGGGATGGAGTGGTGATGGATCCCAAGGCTTATGCTACTATGATTGTGGGGCTGGCTAAAGGGGGTAAGGTTCAGGAGGGGTATGAATTGTTCAAGGAGATGAAGAGTAAGGGTATTTTGGTGGATAGGGTGATATATGGAAAGCTGGTTGAGGCTTTTGTAGCTGCGGGTAAGGTTGGATTGGCTTTTGATCTGTTGAAGGATTTGGTGAGCTCAGGGTATACTGCTGATTTGGAGATTTATAATTGCCTTATTGAAGGTTTGTGTAATTTGAAGAAGCTGCAGAAGGCTTACAAGCTTTTCCAGGTGACTGTTCGGGAGGGGCTTGAGCCAGACTTCTTAACTGTGAAACCGCTGTTGGTAGCTTATGCTGAAGTAAATAGGATGGAAGAGTTTTCCAAGTTGCTTGAGCAGATGGAGAAATTGGGTTTTCCGGTTGTTGCTGATCTCTCCAAATTCTTCTCCCTTTTGGTGGAGAAGAACGGACCGATAATGGCTGTTGAGGCATTTGCTCACTTGAAAGAAAAAGGTCATGTGAGTGTTGAAATATACAATATTCTTATGGATTCTCTTTACAAGACTGGTGAGGTGAAGAAAGCATTGTCTCTATTTGATGAAATGAAAGGCTTGGGCATGGAACCTGACTCGATCACATATAGTATTGTGATTCTATGCCTTGTCGATCTTGGTGAAATTCAAGAGGCATGTGTATGTCATAATAAGATCATTGAGATGTCTTGCATTCCTTCTGTTGCAGCTTATAGGAGCCTTACCAAAGGGCTTTGCAAAATTGGAGAGATCGACGAAGCCATGATGCTTGTTCGTGATTGCTTAGGCAGTGTTAGTGATGGACCAACGGAGTTTAAGTATAGTCTTACAGTTATTCATGCATGTAAATCAAATGATGCCGAGAAGGTGATTGATGTACTAAATGAGATGATGGAACAAGGTTGCTCTTTAGACAATGTAATATATTCTGCAGTCATCTCTGGCATGTGTAAGCATGGAACGATTGAAGAGGCTAGGAAGGTTTTCTCAAACTTGAGGGAGCGCAACTACTTGACAGAATCTGATACAATTGTGTATGATGAATTACTATTCGATCATATGAAGAGAAAGACAGCAGACTTAGTACTATCAAGCTTGAAGTTCTTTGGTCTCGAATCAAAATTGAAAGCAAAGGGCTGTAAGCTGTTGCCAGGTTGAAAAATAGTAATGGGGACTGATTGTTCTCATTTTTTTTCAACATGTTGAATTCAGAAAAAGCATTTCGGAGGACCGACAGTTGTTTTTATCTGGATATGGTTAGCTTTGATATTCAATTTCGTGGCACGAAACACAGATTGCTGGACGGAGATGCTTGCATATCTTTAGCATTGGACAGTTGTATTATAAAGATCATAAATTGCTGGTTGCAAAGATGGTATCCTTAAAAGCAAAGTCGCTCCAGAAAGCTTAACTGACATCAAATCATAGCTTAAGCTCTTACATGCTACATGAATTCTGAATATCAATTGTTTGTGTTCTTTCCATAAATCCATCTTGGAATGAAGAATGGAATATATAGATATTTAATGATACAAGAATTTATACATGCTCAAATTTGATATACCTTTCTCCATCCTCTCATCAGGTCGTAGGCCCCTCATTTAAATTGAATAAAAGGCCTTTTAGCTGCCATTCAAGTCCATTTTTCAGGTGCTGAGATGATTTAGAGGATTAGCCTTTTACTCTTGATACGACAGCATCAAAGGAAGTGGTCCAGGTCTGGAAGGAATGGGCCGAGAAAGGACAGGAATGGGCTTACAATTGTTTTTGTGCCCAAGTTAGCAAGGCTGCAACGAGTGAAGAAGCAGCCTATGTTGTGGAAGGATTACAGGAAATATTAATTGGGGCAGCCTATTTTTACGTAGTCACCAAGTAAAAGCATTGGAATTTCTGTATTAGTATTATTGTTATCGAATTCTGTTGAGAGGAATCTGTTATGCTTATAGTTAGATTATAGGCTAACATGGCTCATGATCCAAAAAATGTAGTGATGTAATGATTACAAATATGATGAATGCAGAATATACAGTGAATAGAAAGCTCATTGCTTTCTCTTATATTTCTGGAGTCACTTCTACTCGGAAAGAGCCTTCTCTAATTTTGTATCAGTTCACGCAGAAGTAGGTCAGGTATTGTTCACTATTGGGTTGAATTGTTGACTATAAAAATCTTAACTTGATAATTTTTCTTTTACCTTAATTGAGTGTAATCTTTTAGTACATGCAAATAAATGGCATGTTTGTTTAAGTCTGTAGAACTATGCATTAACCCATTTGGCAGCTTATTCCAAAAGCATCTGGTGGATAGGATTTTACGAATAGATGAGCAACAACTACTGACCATTTCTTTAGCTGCTTCAAAATAACTCGGATAAAGACATGGTTGTGGTGAATACTGCAAGCAATTAGAGTAATAAAGACACCTTTACATTTACATTGTTCCAGAGCTTCTTTGTGTTGTCTGCATTGATTAATTGTTCTTCACGCTAAAGAATATTGCAGAATGAGATGGCCCAAATTATACCAACCTTAATTGGGATGAAGTTTGCCTTACAAAGTTGCATGTCAAATTTATTAATCATTGAGAAGCAAGGAAAATCAAATGAGTCGTTCATAACTCATTGGTGTCCATAAGATTAACACAGCAATGAGTTTTGGGAAATATCCTGATTATGATTACAACGAGGAATTTTAATTTGGTTTTAGCTTGCCCATCTCCTAGGTTAGGGTTTGTGATCATTTATAATTTGGTACCTTGAAATGGAATTTTAACGGTATTGAAATATAAAAGATTTGAGTCTCGCTTCCTTTGAACCCAAAAAGTTGACTGAGATCGAAGAAAGGTCAGTCAGTAGACAGACATATTTATGACATTTTAAGAAAAAATAATTCCTAGGAAACATGATTGTTGGATATAACAAGGATTTTTTAGACCAAACATTGATTTATTAAAATCTACAATAAATCTAGTATTACATGCTTTTCTCACGCTGGTAAAACAAATGCTCACGTTTAAAAAAAACATTTAACAACTGAAATTTGTATTTAATTTAACATTGTTAATATGATATCATGTACAATAGTTAAATTACAATGACAAATATGATTTGGTAATTAAGGCATAACAAATCTTGTTAAGAAAATAAACATTTGATTTAAAGAAAAAACAGAATGCCAGACAAACCTTTCGAACATAATTTTCAGAATTATAGCATGATCTTTGATGCAGAAAAACACCTAAACTAGCGTTAAGGTTCCCTAAGCTGATAAACAGAGTTTATAAACCAAAATAAGTCATATATATTTATTTTCCGCATTACACGATAGGGTTAACCAAATTCATCCATTTATTTCAAGTCATAATTAAATTTAAATTAAATAAACGATGATTAATTTAGGAGTAAAGACAATGAGAAACTCGTAGTCATCCACTTGTAACAAACAAGAACTGGCACAATGTAGCTGACAATTCAATACGACTTCTGTGAGATAATATATTTTTTGGGGAATAACTACAAAGGGATTTGCGGTTGCTCATAGTCTTTGCTAAGATCAAGAATGAAACAGCTATTTTTCTGCGCTTACATGTTCAAGTGTGAAAACTACGAAACGTAATGTTTTTAGCATACCTTTTTATTGTTATTTTCAAAATAAAGGCACCTCCCCACTCCCTCTACATTTGAAAGATTGTTGATCTATCTACTGCAGCAAGATCATCCTACATAAAAATATGTATTTATAAACAATGAAAATTAAGCTTCCCTTTTGGGTCTGTTGCGGGTATGTGGAAGGGTAGGTTCTTCTTTCAGGGTAGGTTCTTCTTTCAGGGCAGGTTCTTCTTGCACGTAAGTTTCCATACTGTCATCTTGACTTCCATCATCGCTGTCGTCATATTCATCAAGTTCCTTTGCAGCTTCCATTTTTGCCATCTGATATTGTGAAAGATGTCAACAAATCAAGTGTAATAATAACCCTTTTTAACCCCTAATATCAACTTCCTATCTCCAGTTCCGCATACGATTTATCTAAGACAGAAAACTAAAAAATTGGTCTTCAATTCCACACACTAGATAGGTTAGAAACTTAAAAAAGTGAGTAAAGTAACAAGCAGTTTTTGTATACTTTATTGGATTGGCAAATAGAATCTCATATATCAATGTCCTTCAAGGTGCAAGCAAAGACTTCGTGCTAAATTAAGAACATATCACGTTGAGATGAGCAAGGTTGCATAGGCCATCCTAGCAAGCAAACTGATGTTCAAGGAATGCATATACATAATTACACTTGTCAACCTGTCATTTGACTCTGTCTAACTAAGAAATTCTCTCACTTGAGTGTCGCGCCATTAACAGCAATTAATACACTCTAACAGAAGCAGAATCTGAGGCCATATAAGCTCACCAAACAAGAAAAAACCAAACAACCAAACTTTGTAATTCCAACAAACAATCCTATTGTGCAGCACGAATTCATTTCTATATTATTATATGAAGCATACGAACTAGTATCTTATAATTTAATGAAAAAGAGTTATTAATACTCCTACGATAATTCATTTTCTGCCGTGAAATATAATAATACTATTTGTTTATGAATTAATTTCTCTTACAATACTTAATACCACACCCTTATTATTGTAGATTCATCTCGTTAATTTGACTGAAACTAGGCCTGAATCCCTTCAATAAAATTTTAAATTTGAGTCTTGTAGTTGGAAATAACATGATTATTTATAAGAAATAGTTAGTCAAGTTCTTCAAAAAAGATTAATCATCAATAAAGTTGATAAATATTTTACACCAACATCATGGTGATCGTTCGAAAGGCGCCTTGGAATGTTAAGTGAAGGTATATTTATCATCATGGTAATAATGTTCTAATCTCAAATATGTTTAGAAAATATTGTTAACATCAATCACCGCATTTGAATAGTTGTCTATTTTGAAATTTGGAGAGTTAAAAAGGAAGATGTATTTAAATTGGACATGGTCTCGACTTTTAAATAACATGAGATTAGTAAAGCGGAATAAAACTCAATCTTATAAAAGGTCGTAAAGCTTCAATCTCAAACGATGGTTCTGAAAATACAACCTCGGAATCAATTTCTCAAATTGAAACTCATTTATTCACCAAATCGTCCACATGCACCTCATTCATGACTTATGACCTTGGAGGATTTATGTACCTACCTTAACTCAAGATATTAAGATAATGTAACAAACTTCAAGTACTCGGTAACCAATCCAAGGACGCAAAAGCCTATAAATACAAATTAACCATGCATAGAGTATTCACTTAATTCTCTTATTCACTTCTATACCCATACATTTTATAATTTCTCTAAAATCTTACTAACGTTTAGTATTGGAAAATCTTTCATAAGTGAATCTCTCGGCGATCTTCATCTACAACTCAGCAACCTATCGTTGGAGGTACAAACTCAACTTTCCAAGGATATCATTCTTTCCATCTCAAGAGAACCACACTCTAAGAACAGAAAAACCACATTACTGTCTGTTTTTTTTGGCTCGCACGAATCTCACAGTTAAAGTCGTCTTAGTAGGTAAAGAATGAAAGAGTTTATAAACAACTTTACCTTAATTTCTAACAAATAGTCATCTTTGCAGGTGAAGAATGAAAAGATTTCATAAACTGCTTTACCTTCCTAAGGAATGCAAGATTTATTTTGCCTTCCTGGAATTATTTCTTTGCTTTTACTATTATATCAATAAAGCTTTTAAAATTTGGGGAATTTCGTCTTGCTAAAAGAAACAGCACTGCTAATTTCATGCCCATTACACTAGATGCTACACTGTCGCAGTGAGTAACTGACCAGAATTGCATAAAACCAAGACGGGGAATTTCGTCAAACACGTGGACGACATTGGACAACATTCTACTAATAGCACATATCCTTTATTCCAGCTTCATGATTCACTTACAACAATTACACAATTCATACTTTTAATTCATACTTCGAAAGTCGTTTGTGTAGAAAGAAGTAATTGAAAGTTTTAAATTCTCCACAAAGATTATTCCATTTCAATCCATAAATAAATTTAAACTTAAATTAACGATACTTCTACAATTTTTTATTTCTACAAAAATGTAATTCACACTTAATTCTTTAGTTTTTCAAAACTAAGCAAGTCCATTAATAATATTAAAATATATTATTAATTGTTAATAAAAAATTAAAATATTGGAATAAGAGATGTTAACACGTGTTATAAATTTTGATTTTAATATTTTCTAGAAGTCTTATCCAAATGCAATTAAGAAAGGTTACCTCCTCGCGCCAGTCTTGGTCGAGCTTATCGCCCATTCGAAGTGCAGAGAAAATGGTGACGGCGAGGAGAGAGGAAGGGAGCGCGATTGCAAAGAGGATGCTCTTGGTGTTGGGGCCCGCACGAGCGACCACCGCCGTGCTTCTCCGTTTCCGGCTGCCGGCGTGGATGCGAAGCGGCGGAGAGTTGAAGAAGGGCGCGCCACTGAAAGAAGCGAATGAGGAGGGTTGAGAGATTGGATTGGAGACGCTGAAGAAAGTCGCCATGGATATGACGATGCTTCTGTTCCTCTTCGGTATTATATTATCTTCTCGTTCATCTCTTTTTTCCTTTTATCTTGATTGAAAGAGACCCTTTTATATATGGAAATATGTTAATTGAGCTTTTAAATTTGACAAATATTGTTTCAATTTTTGAAGTTATTATCATTCAATGATACGAGCATTTACTATACTAACATTGGGTTTATTGGAATAGAACTCAATTTAAAATAAATTCATATTTTGTAGCTATAAAATATTAATTTTCTTCACAAAGAGTTTTTTAATTATTATGTATTACTAACACTTTATTAATTATGTGAATAGAGTCCATAAATTAATGGAAGATCAAATTTAATTAAATTTAGAACATAAATAACTAAATAATTCTTTAAAATAAAAGACTGAATTAAATTTAAACAAAAAGGAAAAATGAAAAGCATAATTACTATTTTTTATATTTATCAAAATTAATAATATTTTAAATAAAGAGATCACCAAAATAGAATTATATATATATATAGACATATATATACACACGATACTAGTTTCGTTCACCATACCGTTTATAGAGAACTAATTTGATAAACTCATAACTTTTTTTTCTTTTTAAAATCGATTTGATTTAATTTATTAATTGTACTATAGAGAAAATGAAATAGTTGCAAATAAACAAACTGAAATAAGATATTCTTTTTGAAATGGTTGGCAGAGAAGTTCACATGCTTTGAAATCGTTGTGTAGCATAAAAGACGTATAATACAATGAATAATAGTTAATACAAGTGAAATGTCATTCGAATATCCTAGTCTCAATCTTAGTATCTGGACTTAAAAAAGGGCATAAAAAATCAATTCATATTAATGGCATTCAGGTTTCTATACAAAAAATTGACGGAATAAGGTATATCTAACTGTTTTCATCAAGGGCCATCCACTTCATTGACAACACTCAACAATCGGCATTTGGACAGCAGCAACAAACACCACAAATATTCAAAGCTCGGATAATCAGAAAAACCAACCAAGTTGTTCTTCCTTCCCCTGCAGATTTTTTCAGTATGGCGTTGAAAGGAAGGATAGTAATGATACTTGAATGGAAGGGTGCTTAAAGAGAGATCAATTGTGTGAAATTAGATCATTGTCATCTACTCCAGGGGGAGACAGTGGTGGCACAGCCACTTCATGAAATGCAGCAGATTCAATAGACAAAACTTTCCTTGTAGCTGCTTGAGATTCTTTGGTTCTTCCAGCCTTTCTAGAGGAGAGGGTTACAGAGCCAGCGGTTCTTGATGAATTACTGCTATCAATTGACAGCAGAAAGTTTTCTTTGGAAAGGGATGGAGCTGATGCTATGACAGAACTGAAGACTCCAGATTCCCTTAAACTTTGGATTATGACCTGAAGACCAGTGCATGAGGAAATGAGTTTGGAGCGTAAAAAGAAGTTGAATTACTTTGTAAGTCCTTTAACTGTTTGAAAATTTTTAAATAGGTTATGTTAACCTTAAGATAGGGTTTTGGGTCAACGTATTGCAAGAATATTTAATGTTCACTACCGTTAACCTTCTTTATCTTCCCTAACACTACACCCGTAATGCTTATCACTTACCATGGGAGAATATATGCGAGTCAATACTCCCTTCCTCAAAAGTCTTAGCTTTAGGTCTTTATCACCCCACACAACATGCTCATTATACCTGGATCAACAAGCAAAGACCCAAATGTTTTTGGAAGATCAATAACATTGGTTAAAACATGGGATAGATAAGCACATATAAAAATAGGAAGAGCTGAAGCCAGCATACCACTTCTGCATTTCATCTTCAGTTGCAGTTGAAGCAATGATAAATGCCTGAAATTGATAAGGTGTATTAGGATGAATGAGTGTTCACATACAAGTTAACATTACAACACCAGAAAGTATAAAAGGCAGTTCATTGCAATAGGTTCCTCCGTTGTTGAATCTAATGAGGGTCAGCCCTAGGAAGCATTATCCCAAATGCAGGGAGGCTATTTGTGATACTTTAACCTGTGACCACCAGATCACAATGCATCGACCTTACAATTACACAAGCGTCACATCTTCCAGACTAGAAAAACAGATACTCTACCAAAATTCGCTAATAACAGAACTTAAGTCCAAGCTTTACTAAATACCAATAGGAGTATAAATGAGTCGAACTATTTGTGGATTATCGAACTCCGGCTTGTTAAGTGCTCAATCGTCTTGTTTAATAAGCTAAACTAACAAAGTTAAAAATGCTCCATTATTCAAATAAGTCAAGCTCAAGCACTATAGAATGGATATTAATAGCTAGTGAATAGCTTATACATATACCTAGGTGATGATTATAATTTTTGCTTATTAAGTTACTACAAAAATATAATATCATTTCTTATTACCCTACAAATCTCATCCATCTATTTTAATCATCAAGATTCACATTTTAAATACACAATCATAAACTTTCAACAAAAGATTTACCTTTTCTATCATAAAAAAATCATTTCTAATATCAAGTCATAATCTTTTTAGCTTGACACACACTTCTACATACTGGCATAAGAAATCCTGTTTTCTGACAAAATAGAAACCTGAACAAAACAGGAGAAAGAATAACAACAAATAATAAAATCTGGAAACTTACAGATCTGTCAAATTCTAACATGAAGCATCTTTTGACATCTTCTTTTGTAGGTTTGCAACCACAGCGGTCACGTCTAGAAGTTAAGTCTGAGAATTTAGCATACGTGTAATGTAAAACAGCAGCTTCTTCCAATTTGATTTCACTAGCATAATTGAGAAGAACTATCAGGGAAATAACAAAAATGTCAAGGGATACACTCATGTCTTGTGATTCAAAGATCATACTTTGGGGTTTTCATATAATTATGCCATCTATGGGCACCATTAGGCCGAAGATGATCTTGTATCCGAGCAGCTGATTTTCCATTTCCATAAGTCAGGAAGTAGTTTGGATTGCCACGTACAGAATCTTTATACATTCCAAAGTATGTATCCTTTGGAAGATGATCATAATTCTTCTTAAACATCGATACCTGCTTTGACAGATCAAGAGAAGAGGTTACAAATTTATAATTTAGGTTTACTTTTGCAGTGTACTGATCACTTATCCAATATTTACTTAAAAGTCGGGTTCGAAATTTTCATTTAGCTAACTTTTGTCTAATGTCTTGAACTTGGTGCCTGGTAACAATTTTTGTTAACAATTTCATTGACTAATAAGCTTCTGAAGTTTTCACAACCATATCCAACCCACCTATGTGAGTCCAACATTATTCTCAGCCCAGCAATAAATAGATGCTGGCCATGACAAATCCCAAACTTCAAGGATTTTAATCCCCTCTAAAGTACAGTGACCCGATGCACCAGTTTGAGTTATAATCTCAAACTTTGAACTCAAAGGAATTCAAGTAAAACCAGCTTTGTCAGTACGATATGATTGTCAACTGTACAGATATAGAGAATCCATTACTTTTTCTTAATGAACTAGTCTGTTCAATTTTGGAAATCCAAAAACGATTAGCATGGTTAATTGAAGAAAGAAACAGCATTGCAAACAGATTTACACAAATATTATTGATGAGCTTAATACGATCGTATCCATCAAATAATATTTATTTCAGATTCGCTGCATTAAGTTAGACACTTATCAGAATGACTGTGTACAGCTTTCATAACTTACCTCACTAAAAGGTTCTTTGATATCATCTCGTTCAATACTGCTCTCCTAAAAAGGATAATCACGGCAGCACTAGTTACAAAATTGAAGCAAACAATATAGCAAAATCTTTTCCAATACAATGAAATATACATCAATACCAAGCAATTAAAAAGAATCTGCAGATTCTACTCACATAGTTAGGAAATATGACCATGTCAACATGGGCTGGAACATCAAGCAGCAACTGCCTTAAAGAATATTCCCGAGCACCGGCAGGGTGTATTAATTCATCTGTATCAAGATGAAGAATCCAGTCCATGCCAGAATCCTGATATTTCAATTTCAACAAGCAGAACAGTGTTGATGAACTGAATTACAAACCAAACCATAATTTTTTTTCAAAAAAGAGAAAAGTAAGGATTAGTGCAACAAAACAGTTTGCATTACCCTTGCCATCACAATAGCCATCTCCATGTTGAGAGATTGCTTCACAAAAAGTTCATAATTGCATGGTTTATAAAAGAAACCTGCCAGCCAGGTCTCATTCCAAATACGGCTGATGCAACCAACAAAATAAATAATTAGCATAACAAAACCATCTCTTAAAAAATTACAATTTAGAATCACAAGTATCCTGAAGACAAAAGAGAAATTAAATACCAACAAGAATAGTAACAGTATAAAATGAGCTTGGAAAAGAAATAAAATTTTATAGTAATGATCATGACCAAAAATCATTAGAAAAAAGAAAACTTGATTAATTACAAGCCATTTACAGACATACTGAAATATCAAACTACTATGCTTAAAAGCATCTTCCATATATCACCATTTACAAATCAAGAAACTCCAAAGAACATTATTCTATTACAACCGTAAATTGAAAAACTCAATTGAACACATAAGAGTCTGTAAGAAAATGATAAAAATTTATCTACCTCTTAGCTTGTTGCTCTTCCAGCTGTTTTGTTCTATATATAACCTTTACACCCTGGTTTAAACAACATAAACGAAATTATAATAGTATTATTATGTAAGAGAAAGGAGGAAGGCCAAACATATAAAAAAAAACAATCAAATCCCGACTCCTGAGATGGATAGTATACTGTCTGTCTACTTACAGGAATTGATTCAAGGACATTTGTTACTTCAGGGGAAGCAGCCTTCCCCTCCACGAAAAGGAAAAAATTTGTCACACCAATGATTTTATGATAAAACATCCATGGTAGAATCTGCTCAAGCCCCGCAGATGTACTTGTCGTAACACAGATCTGCACGTCAAGAAGAACAAGTGGATCAAATCAATAGCAACACGGATACTTCCCAAGACATATGTACAGATAAAGCAAAGCAAGTTCTCATACTAAAAATGAACAATGAGAAAAAAAT